AAGCCTTGTTTTGAAACTGTGAACCAGGGTTTGTGGCATTGAGAGCGAGCGGATTACCACCGGGGACGAAAGCGCTCCACCACCGCAGCGATGAGCCACACAGCACCGCTGCACGCTAGTCTGGCCCCTATTGAAAAGAGGTCAGCAGTGCACTGAGCCAGGTTCGTGAATAAAAGAAAGTTACATAACACCGCACAATCTGGGCTCTTTTTACAAGGCTGCAGGCCTGGCTGAAATACTCTGGCGTCAATGAAGTCACCTGTCAACTTAGAGTAGTGCCTAAAGATTACTTCATGTGGCTATAAATGACCGTTAAATGAAATGATGAATTTTTGAAGGATTTTGAAAACGGAAAAAATGATAGTCATGCCGGCCCAGCATCATCAACATTGAAAAATGCCCCGGCATGAAGTGGTTAAGAGTATAAATTTTAAATGAAGATTAAAACGAAAATGACTAACTTCTCACAAGTACACCAAGTAAAATAAAGAGTAAATGCTGAAGGTGATTACAAAAGTTTGGGTCAAGCTTGGGGGGAAAAAAATCAAGCCAGTTTTCATTTTATTAAAAGAAATCACCTTTATTTCAATGAATATTAATGGCTCGTAAAAAAGTATAAAACGTCCAATGTAGTCCAAGGATTAAAACAAGTTCAATATATCTATACTGTCTGTGACACGTATTACTCTGATTATTACATTCATTTATATTAAGATTATTTGAATTTATTGGAAATTTGAAAATACTGAAAGAATACAAGATCACACTTTCACTGCCACCAATACAAGTGTGTAAAGGCGGATTACATATAACATTTGAGAGTTTGCAAACAAATGATAGTTGAAACTATCAAATCAATCAGAATACATCATACATTAACTGAATATTCACTCAGCATTATATATTTACAGTATATTTAAACTTTTTGTGCCAGTACACAGAATTTTGGCACTGCAAAATAATGCAAGAACCTGTGAAATTAAAGCATCGTTTTACAATAGAAATGACAATATGATAATTCTCAACACATTGTGAATTGCATGGATGTTTTACAAGTAATCTGTAAACCACATGAAGCAGATGGCCTAGTTGCTTTCCAACACTCCCTGATATAGGAAACATGAATTCCACCAAGACAGGATGGAATAGCATGGCATATTTGTATACTCACTGGATTTAATTCAGTCATTACGGTACGTTTACTTGCAACCTACAGTTGGAAAATCTGGCATGCCTAGACAGGTGTTTTCATAACTTGTTACTTGCCATTAAAGTTGGAATGGATGGAAATGTCAAAACTGACATTGCATCTCATTTGGATGTTACTTGTTCCTTCAATAGTAGATTTATTTTTTGCAACATACTCCCCATCCCCCTGGAAACTTCCCTTTGTCATTTTGCTTCCTTACTAATTATGCACTTGTCCATTTCATAAAGGTTTTCTATAATAGGGCATTGTAAACATTTGGGAAAAGGGGACGATTCCAAATTGAATAAAGCTAAATCTTGTGTAGTTTGGAAGTTTCCTTGTTTCTCGATGTCCTGGTTTTACATTAATGTTGACACTCCTGGCATGATTGCATACATTTCCTGAAGTTTGTTTCAGGAATTGCATTTTGGCTGTCTTTACTGATTTTAGGTTCTACCGTTGAATTTAAAAGAACTTTTACACATTACATGTACGTAAATACTATTCAATGTTTTAAAAATATTCAACATTTACACAGAAAATTTACACTGCCTCTTTACAAACTAAAATAATAAAATACCAACAGTCTGTATTTTCCACACATATACAAATACATTTCTTTAAAAATTTAGACTGTAAAGAGTTAGGGTAGAAATGTATAAATTAAATGAAGTTATTACAAAGTACTTCTCTGTGAATACAAAACTTACGGTGGAATAGAATTGCCAATAGAGAATACACTACTGAGATAAACTGCAGTTGTGACATTAATAGACATCTAACAACAGGGTCTCCCGTCTTTGAAAATGCCATACATGATGTCTCCTGATGCTGCCTTGGTAGAGTTGAAAAATGACCCCACTTTATCCATACAGGAGGTCACTGTACTGAGTCATCCAGTCACAGCACCTATCTGACCTTTGCAATTACAGACGTACATGGAAGCAATCTTCTGAGATATCTCTGTTATCATCCAATTACTTTTCCTGGTGTTGGCACATCTGAACAGAAAAAAGAAAGAGCCACTTTAAAATATTTTTAATCAATCAGTTTAATAATTTTCAATGAATAGATCTTAAGGCATCATTTTAAATGGTCACATAGTACACTTACATGTACTTAAGTCATGTAATTTTCTTACATCTTAAAACACAGATGCTTAATAAGCCATCACAGTTGTTATCAGCTCATTCAAAATGCAATGTAATATCATTTTCACAAAACCTGAAGCATAAAGAATACTATACATGCTATAAGAGACAGTTCAAATCAGACTTCTTTTTTATAAATGCAGAGCAAGAGCTTTTGTTCTCTTTGTGATTTGTGTATGTATGTAGCAAATTAATTCTAAAGATGACTGAAGAAATTGTCTGGAGTGGGATTTGAACCGCTGACATCTTGAATGTACTGTCTGCTCTACCAACTGAGCTACCCAGTCCTATAATGGTGGTACAAATACATGTATGGCAGGTGGTTATTCCTGAAGTTTAAACTGTCCAAATTTGAGACATGCAAACTTGAAGTTAGAATACCAAACTAGCTTATTTGCCATTTTTCTGCTTAACACTGAGATTGAATCTTCCAAAGTAGATTTTTCACTGACCAATGTTTTCATAATTCTTGCATTCCACGAAACACTACAAACCACCTGACCAGATTCTTTAGTTCCAATTTCTATTCCATACCTTGGTTAACATGGAACTGGATGAAGTCAATATACTGTGAGATCCTGACGTAGACACCTGGTAAGCCGGGTCTAGCACATCCTTCACCAAAACTAGTTGCTCCAACCAAAAGCCATCTACCATCATCACCTTCACATACCAATGGACCTCCGCTATCACCCTGAACAGTGAGAAAACAGATTCCTGAATTTATAATAACACTTTCATGGTTCCCTAAACTGTCCAGTTTCTGGTCTCTTTGTGCTATGGTTGGCCTTGTTTCAGACCTTACACAGCAGAATTTTTCTGGATTTAGTAGCATTTTTAGTGCCATGTCATTGGGATCTGTGCCAACTTTACCCTACATGACGACCAATAATACAAACAAAACAACTTACATTAATTGTAAAACAAAAAACTTTTGATAACCAATCAGTTTAATACTTTAATACAGCAACAAACATATCATAAACTATTATTATTCCAGTCAGTAAAAACACTTGTCTGGCAAGTGATCTTAGATCGGTGCAGTTTCTAAGGCGATTTTTGTACATGACAATTTCTCAGCTTGAGAGTCCAAGCAAGATATTGCAGTTTCACCGCAACATCAAAATAAGATCCCTCCTACTTTTTTGAAGAGAAACTAAATTGCATTTCTTTAGGGCTTGTTCGCCCATAATTGTAACAATCTCCTGTTGCTCTGAATATGAATTTGCTGTGATGTATATTTCATCTTGAATCTGAAGGACAGGTGTCCAAGCCCAATCTGATCATACGTGTACCTGGCATGAGTCACGACCACCTTCCTCATATCCAGCACAGATCATCTTCTCTGTAATCAGAAAGGAGTCCTCCAAGGCTGTGGTGCAATTCTCCAATGGCACCAGAGGGACAACTACCTCTTGAAGAATGTCAGGAAGTACAGTTCCTGAGGAGGAAATTACAATGAGAGAAATACATGGGGGTGGACATGATATCTCTACAGTTAGGTTGTACATTCTGAAGTAGTACAAATGTCATATTTAAATTTCAGGTGGTCCTTTTTTCCAAACTACTGAAGTATGCCACTTGCAACTGTGGGCTTCAGCATTCATAAAAGGAGGAGGGGGAGGTATGTGCAGTATTTTCAAAAAATGGAAGAGATCAAACATGGAGTTACTTTCTGTCCTTGCAGTTATAAAAAAGGATTCAGCATTTTATAAAAGGGGGTACTAGCATTTATAAAAGGAAGGGTCCTAACTAGAACTGAACCTCGACATGCGAGCTGGGCATGTTTTAGTAATAATCTTTGTCTTCAGAGTACATAACCACTTGCTGCCGGGGAAACCATTTTTGAGCACAAAGGCTTTATACATGAAGCCGAGAGCCCGAAACAGGGACAAAAGAGCGGGCCTTGTAACAAAAGACTGTGCTCAAGACAAAAGACTAAGCTGCTGGGCATTACCGATATTTTTCACTCTCAATTGTGGAGATAATCCAGCCTTGTTTTGAAACGGTATACCACAGTTTTGGGCATTTAGTGCGAGCGGATTACCACAGGGGACAAAAGCACTCCACCATCGCAGCGATGACCCACACAACACCACTGCACGCTAATTTGGACCCTATTGAAAAGCGGTCAGCAGCGCACTGTGCCAGGTTCTTGAACAAAAGAAAGTTGTATAACACCGCACAATCTTGGCTCTTTTTACAAGGCTGCAGGCCTGGCTGAAATTCTCGGGCATCAATAGATTTTGTCTGTCAGGTTACAGTGGCCACCAGACAGTAATTCACGTGGGTGTAAACGTCCAGTAATAGAAATGATGAATTTTTAAAGATTTTTGAAAACTGAAAATCTTGAAATTCGTCCGTATGTGTGAACTGCATTTTTCCGACCACCCGGCAGCATGTGGTTAAGACAATTGAGAGTCAAAGAAAATCAAATCAGTAGGCAAAGATGGTGTCTCCCTAAAATGAGAGGTGATGGGTGTCTCCCCCCCCGGTTGCTGGGTGTCTCCGCACCCCCGAATGTCCCCCCCCCGGATGCCTCTCCACCCCGGGTGTCTCCCCAGGTGCTGGGTGTGTCCCTCCCAGATCTGCTACTACGGTATGCAGTCAATTATTGAACTTCTTATCAAATGCCCCAAACAATTGAACAATGGGGGGAAAACATTTTGCATTTGAAACAAATTTTACTTCAAAACTAAATTCACAACCTGTTCAATGTCGTTTGTCCGTGAGGATATGGGATTGTAACTATATTTATTTATCCAGCATCTTCCTGGATGAGAAAACTTACTTCCTTCCACAGTTGTCCCCCAGCCAGTGGCGTAACATTTCTGGTACTTCTCGGTTTCATTCTGCACATTATTTAGACACACTGGTCGAATGTAGTCATTAAACTCTACAGGGGTCTCCAGTTTCAACAGTGCAATATCATTTTCGTAGTTGTAATCATTGTTAGGGTCGTAAAATGAATGTACGATGATTTCACTGACAGTCACCAGTTTGTAATTGGGTCCCAGGTTGGATAAGTTGAGAACACCGATGAGGAGAGAATTAACAGCATCACTACAGAAACAGAGACAACATTATATGGTTGGGATGGTTTCATAGAATCTTAAAGATATGACTGAGTATGCACAAATTGTCTTAAGACCAGATTGTTGATGCTGGTAAAAAAAAAGGCTCCAATTTTCCGAGAAGACGTCACTGGATTAAACGTATTTCTTCGTCATAGGACCCAAAGTGGTGTTTTGTTGCTGCCACTTTTGGTGGGCCATTATAGAGCTAAACTGCTTCTGACTTGGCTGAGTTCTTGCAACTTACAGGTATACCTATAGTATCTGCAGACAGACAATGTTACAAACTTTTTTCCTCATATAGTATTGAATTCTTAAGGTATCATTTTTTGCTGGAGCGAAATCTCACATAAAGGAAAACATGTAGGCCACACCTTGGGTTTACCTGTAAGGATTCAGCCTCAGTAAGGTTACTGGTGAATACCCAACTAAATTTTACAAATGACTTAAGCTCTGCTTCGTTTTAACCACTGGCTGCCGGGGGACCCATTTTCGAGCACATAGGCTTTATACACGAAGCCGAGGAACCCGAAACCGGGACAAAAAAGCTGGGCCTTGTAACAAAAGGCCGTGCTCTGCACAAAAGATTGAGCTGCTGGGCATTACCGACATTTTTTCACTCTCAATAGTGGAGATAATCCAGCCTTGTTTCGAAACAGTATACCACGGTTTAGGGCATTTAGTGCAAGCGGATTACCACTGGGGACAAAAGCACTCCACCACTGCAGCGATGAGCCACACAGCACCGCTGCACGCTAATCTGGAACCTATTGAAAAGAGGTCAGCAGCGCACTGTGCCAGGTTCTTGAACAAAAGAAAGTTGTATAACACCGCACAATCTGGGCTCTTTTTACAAGGCTACTCGGGCGTCAATGGATTTCGTCTGTCAGGCTACAGTGGCCACCAAACAGTAATTGTAAACATTTGTGGGTGTAAACATCCATTAATGGAAATGATGGATTTTTGAAGATTTTTGAAAACTGAAAATCTTGCAATTCGCCCATATGTGTGCACTGCTTTTCAAACCACCCGGCAGCATGTGGTTAATCAGTTAGGAGAATGTTTTGTAGAAACTTTACATCCCAAGTTCATTTTTTAACAAATCCTATAATGCAGCCCTGTTACTTTTAACAGTAACATTTACTTTTAATATGTTCCTGACATATTTCTGAGTTTGTGAATCAACTTACGCGCAATGAGCAGCTGTGATGGCCCACCGATTGTTGATAAGTGAGGCTCCACATCGAAAATCATAATCTGCATCCAGAATGGCCAGCATCCAAGGCCACTCCCCAGGAGATGCATCCTGACCGCCAATGATACGTGAGAAAGGATTAGGTCCTGCTGGGGCAGTACCACAAATCCCAGTCTCAAAGATATCTGTAATTTGAATAATGAATCAGTAAAATGCTACGGTATAAAAAAGAACATGACACAAATCAACCCAAGAAATGTCCCTAACTGGCTGCCAACCATCCTGAACAATGGCCACAATTAACGGCAGCTTGACCTATTTATCTGTGACTCATAGATATGCAAAGGTGCGCTGCTACTGCGTAATCCTCTCCCCATCTGGCAATCTCCATGTGTGTGTGTGTTAATTGTCTGCTTCACACTGACTATAGTTTTACAGAACTATAGAAGTAAGGTTGCTTTTCAGCCTCAACTTAAATTATCATCATCAAGTTGATGACTAATTTACTGCAGAAAACTCGACAACAGGCTTTTGAAAATGAATTCAAACTAAGCTCTAGTCAGTGCCGACTGGAAAGTAAAATCAAACACAGATGTGATGGATGTGTTTGTATGGTCACAGCATGATGAGCACCGAGGTATGACAGCTTTGTGTCTGAGTTCATTCAGGTGTGACATATCTAATTAGTAATATATAGCTAATATATTCTGAGGGTGCTCATGATCAAGGTATTTAGAGATTGTTTATACTCACCATTTTCATAATTGCACCACAAATCACCACCTGTATTGGGCAACGAATCACAGATGCCATCATTAAAGCCACACCCATTGACTGCTGCCTCGCAGACACTGCGGCAGACAGCCTGCCTGCTAGACACACTCTCAGGGCATTCTGGGAATAGCAGTGAACAGATCACCAGCTCTGACTGGGGCTGACAGAAGCTAGCTTTGGCCTGTTGGTACTGGGCCATGGCAGACGCAGCATTCTCTGCAAACCGGTTAGGATAATGGGTGGTACTGTAAGGCAGGAGATTGGAACAGTTGGTAACTGGGATTGGCAGACAAGCATCTGAAATTGGAAAGACATACAAGATGATCTCAGTCAATCTGCAGGATTTCCATTTGAAAAACATTTGATAATTAATACTCTGACAACAACTATTGTGAAAAGATACATATTGACCAAGGTGATATTGACGTGTGGCATTTTAGGGATTTCACCAACTATCGTGTCTTTATACCACTGGTTCTCTGAAACCAAATGTCTACTTCCTCATCGTAAGTAAAACATCATCTGCATCTAATTTTTTCATCATGACTGTTGCAGTTCAGTTAGTTTTAATTAAGGTAGGCCTAAGTCAGTCAGTACTGATGTATAAATTAACAAAAAAACATAAGGGCCTGATGGAATGACTAATAACAAGTCAGCAAGATGTACAATGGAGTTCCTAGCCAATGAGACAGCTCAGTGTTTGGTGTTATCCATGGATAACCACTTACCACAATTGACTTCATCTGTGGGATGTCCCTGACACACAGCTGTCCCATCACAAACATCTTCGGCAAAGAATGCTTGGACCAGATTTTCACAGCGCAGGAAATCTAAGAGTTGAAGCACAGTGTCTGCATTTTACTCTAGAGCCACTGGTGTCCAGAATGACCAAACTGAAGATGCTTGATTATTTTACAATCAAGTCACAACTGTTTACAAATTCCCACTAGATTCCCAAGTGACCTATGAAATGATTAAACCATGATAGTCTCATATTCCTTATTTTGTACACAAATTTAGACGAAGTCATTTGAATATTTGTTTTTGTTCAAGAAAGCAGTACCAAAGCATTCCACATTTCCAAGCCGAAATAATCTCATTTTAATCACAGACTTTGCAGAGCAAAAATCCTTCTGAGTTTGCTTATAGTCAAACTAGTTTAAAAGTGCCTGTGGTATGATGCTAGAAGGCACAACATCAATCTACAGAGAGTCAGCAGAAATAGTTTTAAAAAACTCTTTCAGTGACCTCCAATTACATATTTATAGTTTTTTTTTACTTTATTCAGCTCAGAGTTCTGGTTGGAATACGTCTTTGAGTCACTGGTGAAAAAATTCAGATAATTTTTTGGGAGAAATTCAGGCTATTTAAGAATCACACATACCTCCATCATTCAACACCCGCATATTGATGCTGAAACCGGTCCTTGTCTCTGCAGAGTTTGACACAAACAACACCCAGGCACGGTTCCCCGGTACCAGGACATGGGAACCAGTGGGCAGAACACCAGGAATCACTGTGATGGTTGTCAAAGGTGCAGTGAAATTATGCCCTTGCCCAATGGACAAAGTGTCTGAATTGGCAAGATCCACTACACTTGTCTGGAAAATGATAGATGCATGATCCGGGCCTGTGATTAACCACAAGCAAGCTGTGCCATTAACGTAGTTCGTTGGGTAGTTGGTCAGTTGTAACAGGACTGAGACATTGTAGGTCAATGTGTAGTTAGACTGACCACACTGAGGTTCTGCATGTGTGAAAAGAAATAACACAAGTTGCATGTCATATTTCAGTTCTTGTAATTTAAGTAATTATGATTCTTAAATGTGGCCTCGGAGAATGGGATACACTACACAAAATGCCTGGTTTGACAATGTTACCTGGCAAATGTACAAATGAAGCAATCACAGCTTGTACAGTAAAAACCTAACTACATCTGGCCAACAAAAATGAATAATGCCGTTGAATTCAGCCCATCCTCCTCAAAATGTTGCTGTTTGTTGTGTTATCTGTTTTTCTTGACCTCTCAAGTAGATTTTGTCATTCCATAATGAAATCAAATTAAAATACAGTAAACTCCGGCTAAGGAATTGTGACAATGGCATTCATTGGTTGTTGCTTGTCTCGTAATTCCGTCCTGATCTGATTTGTGGACTGTCTTGTGACTGACTTGATCCCAACATTGCCATTAGAAGATAGGTAACTTCATGAGAGCAAATACATGTACTCACGACAGCCAATTTCATCAGTGTAGTCCAAACAGTCATGCCTCTGATCACAAACCCTTTCAGCTGGTAGAACCTGCAAACCATTGTCACATACCCTGATATCTGCCAAATCAAGGAAAGAGCACATCAGTCATTAGTCACTGACTTTATGTAACACTTGAAATATGTACTTATGTGCAAAAGCCAAAAACTGGATTTCAGTGTTGGCAAAGTCCATATGCTTGCTTTCAAGCACTAGGAAAATATATGAAACAGAAAATGTTAACATTTCATTTTGAGAATAGTTGCAGAGAGAGAGGAGAAAACAACTCTTAATGCTAGGCATATCTGTAATACTAGTGCAATAGTGAAGTCATTTTTTTCTATCATCACCTCAGCGCAACTCACCTGTTTCATTAGTGGCTCGGAATTCAAAGTCAATGCCATAGTTATCCCTCCAGATGTAACCAAACAAGGCGATGCTCATCAAGTTATACTGGCTGATCACATCAAGTGGTTGATCCAAGCTCCCTGAATATTGAATCATTTTTCCCTCTCCAAAAGTCAAGATCAGTGTTTGGAATACAGAGTGGAGAACAACTTTATGCATGATAAGTTGAATTCTGTAGTTGGCTGGTGCTGAGATTATGTAGCCACACCTCTGATAGGTGACAGCAGGTAGATCCGGCAAGAAAGTTGGCACAGTGAGTCGAACAGAGCCTTGGGCTGAGACATTGATGGTGGAAGGTCCACAAGCTGGTGGAAAATCATACCGTAAGCAGAGATTAATTATTCATTAGACAATGAATCCATTCATCTTTTTTTCCCAAACTGCCTAGCCTGTTTCTAATCAGTCAACCCTTGCATGCCCAACCTAGCACCAGCATTTTTCACTCATTGACAGAATAAATAAAATGTATAACAAAAAGTGATCAGCAAATACTTCTAAACAAGACCATAACTAATCCACATGATGTACAATCATCCTGCCTGATATGCATGCAGTATAGAAGTGATAAGTTTCAATTTTTTTTTCAGCTGAAACTCAATGGAACTTGGCCAAAACATTAATGTTCGAAAATAAACACGGTTCAAGATAGTTTTCCTCCAATACTGAACAGTGTTCTTACCCACGGGACAGAGCTGTCCAACAGCTTCATCAGTGGAATCCATACAATCAACAGCTTGATCACAGACTGAAGTTTGAGGGATACACTGCCCACTGCCACATTCAAACTGTTCATTGGTACACGTGGGAGGCTCTGTTTTCAAACAAAATTAGAGAGAAATACCAGAATTGCAGATTATTAAGGTTATTTGCAGTTTTTTATGGCAGGAAAATTACAAAATGGATAAAAACAAACAGAAACCCAAGGCCATATTGATGGTCACGTAGGCACAATGCATGCAATCTTTCTCTTTGACAGCATAATCTTGATATTACATAACAGACACACAGCCAACGTCCTCAGGGATTTTTCTTCAGAAAGACACGGCATCTTATTAATTGCTAATTACCAAATCTTTACTGTTGATTCCATGCCCAAATATCCTATTGCCAAACATACTGGCATTTGTATTTTCACTCGTGCTAAAACTACACTGCACTATATGTCATCTTCATACTTATGCTCTACACACTTAAAGACTCATACTTACACAGGCACACTCTTTCTCATGTTCACTCATACTGGTGGTTATACTCACACTCGCATACTTTTTTTACTTAGTTATACGTTGGCCTCTATAAACTCAAGTACTCTCACACAAATGTGTTGACTACAATGTTGGTTTATGAGGTACCTCAGAGTGAGACGACGAAACTGTATTTTGCGTAATGAATATCAATGACGGACAAATAGTCCATTGAAGGCCTTTACCTGTTGTTGAAACTGTCGTTGAGCCATCAGATACTACAGAAAATGCAAAAGATGACGTATTGATAGGCACAATTACATAACTTTGTACACGGTTCACAATTTTATTGACTGGAGCAAGTCAGTAATGATGTCAAGACAAAGTGCTGCTTAACTGAGACATTAGAGGTTTAAACTCTTTTTCAAAAAAAACGGGGGCGAAACTTAAGTGAGACCTCTTTTAAGGGAGTCTGTAGCCCCACAAGACCAAGCTAAATGGACATTTGATTTCTTAAAGATGGGGTCTGGCAATTTTGGCAGAGGAAAGGCATTCATAGAATGTTTTATAAATGTTGCTGTATGAAAAACATCAACTGTGAATCAAATATGAATGATGCTTAACCTGTAAACATGTTTTCCCGTTACCTTGAAATATCTCGACAGTACTGGCATTGACAGGAATATCACCTAGGGTGCCATTACTGACTTCACTGCTTAAGACACTCAGGATAGCTTGCTTTGTAGCATTGGTGGAATTGCCCGGAGGGAAGTTGGTCAGTTGAACTGTGAAGTCCACAACGGTGTTGGGAGTGTTGGCTGCTCTTAGGGTAGGATCGTCTGACGATCTTTTGGGTGGCATAAGCAAAGTTGAAGCAATTCATCAATAACTATTTGGGAAAATCCATGACAATCTGTCTTTGAAATCCCGCTATTTGGCCAACGCAACATGTTCCTTTGCAATATATGACAAACATTTTGCCACTTCATTTGCAAGATATATCAGCCAACTTTTAGGATACAGCAACAAACCACAGAGCAGTACTCCAAGGTGCCCAGTAGGAAGCTATAGTTGTTATGTTAAGAGCAAGCACATACAACAGTCAAACTCCAGTTGCAATCCTTCTTCACACTTCATACATTCTTTTTTGAGTAAAAACCAATTTTGGCAAAGGTCGTCTCACACATTCCCCATCACAGCCCAAAGGCCTGAACTCCTCAGTTAAGTAACCTTACAATCATCAACTAGGCCTTTTGGATCACATGTGCAATCTGTCAGTAAAAACTGATTGACATTTGGCAAGACATACCTGAAGCTGTTGACAGTGGTGGATATGTAGATATATTCTTCACTAAGCCCAAATCGTAGTGCTGTGCCCATCTAGCAAGCAGAAAATACATTAAATCATTATAAAACTTCAGTTTTGATCCAAATCAGCAATTATTTCAGCATTATACAAATGCCTTGAAAGACATCGTAAATAAGTTTGCCTAGGGTCTGAATTAATGCATATAATCAGTGTGGGCATATATATCCCTTGATGAATTGAATCAAGGGGCATAGCCAGGGTTTCACTGACCCATCACGTAATAGTTTTGTCCCATTAGGCTCCGTCACAAACTTTGGTTCCGAAGACACTCATTTTACAAAGGTTAATATGTTAATACTTTTTGTGACATAATTTTCCTCAACGCTATTACCAATCATTTTCATCGTTCAGATTTTTCATTTTTGATTCATTTCCACTCTCCCATTTTCACATTTATGATCCTATTTTGCTTTCATCAACATCCTTTCTTTTACTTTCAAAATCTCTTTCTCGTTGCAATCTACATCTCATTGGCTAGACTTATGACTGAAATTATAGGGTTGCTAACAATGCTTGGATTAAATATTGTCATTACAAACTGACAGTGAATTGTGAAATCACTCAGAAAGAAAACTTACAGCATCACGGAAGCGATTGCGCAGATCCAAATAATCTGATGAGGTTTGATTCTCAAGTTCACTAGTGAACTCGACTAGAAAAGTTATGCGACCTGTTGCTGTCACTACAGAAAAAAGAATAAAGGGCAACCTGTCTTAATCATCATACATTTTTCCATGATATTTCTTCGCAGTTAATATTAAAAACAAACAACAAAATAAAGTTATCAGAACACCAAATTTGCTTAAATGCAACGCAAAAGCAGAAAGACAGCATGATCTTAAATTTTGAAAATGACTTATAAAAACAAAGCACATATGGCACATTAGTACAATATTAAATGAATGTTAGCTTACATGATACACAACCAGCTTCATCTGAATTGTTGGCACAATTAGCAGTGCCATCACACTGCCAAGAATCTGGAATACAAACTGAATGGCCACAATGAAACTGGTTGCTGGAACAATCAAAGGATTCTGTAAAGAAGGAAAAAAATGATGAACTTTATATCAAGTGTCATGCATTTGGGGAAAGTCCATTGGATAAGTACAATCAGACTTCTCTTGGGTTTTCTGAAATAATCTCGTCAAGTTGGCATTAGAATCATAAATGTGAACGACTGCAATCAAATTATTCTATAAATCAAAGGTAGATTTGTGTTATCCGTGAGAAAGATTCCGTGAGGATCCAAATCCTCTCAATTCTGAGATTTGTATTTTTTGAGTTAGTGAAAAAAAAAATTGAATCTGTCTTGAGTCCATCAACCACAAGTATGGCTGGATCTGCAACTGTGTATAACAGATTTGAAACAGCCAGTAAAACGTGGCAAGCTTTGATGCTGAGTGGTTAGGACATTTGCACTACAACCAGGAGGTCATGGTTTGACTTCCACAGGCACTCGGATAGCACTGAGTGTAATCACATTAGAGGTTCCGACCCTAGCCTGCTCACAAAATGCCACAACTTGCCACAGAAAAGTAAACCCAAGATGTCCAGTTAAGCATATGAATTGCTGCATGCAATGACATTCATCAAAAACATGCATTGAGTGCATGCAAATTGAAATATTAACATTTTCATTTCAAACTCAAATTTTAAAAAAAAAGTGACAAATAATCAAGCAATGCCTTTTCATTACAACTCCCAATAAAATTAAACAAGACACTTACAGCATGACCATACACTCTCCTTCTCTCCTTTCAGGGGTAGAGGCTGATTTTGTCAAAATGTTTTTGATATCTGGTATTTTTGACTTTGTGATGTAATCAACTGAAAGTTTGTTGCCATTGATTGATGGACCTATTAAGCGAGATATTACTCCGTCATATACAGAAATAATTCCATCTGATGAAAGTTTCCTTTTTTGTGAAGATTTCAACTGAAACATTTAACATATCCAGAAAATATGTATGGACTCTTGCAACTCCTAATACAACAAAATGTCTTTATTTTGGAGACCATGTATAATTTCTCACCGGAACCATCCACATCAAACAAAGCCAGATCAAATCCACGGTCATTAAGAGATGAATCACTTGTGAATTGAATCCACATCTCATTCCCATCAGACAGCAGTACTGGTGGCAAAACTTTTCCAGACCAGCGGAAGAACAACGTGGACTTGTTGTCTGGGTCTCTGCCATCACCAATTTCTAAGAAATCCAATCCATCCTCTGTCTGGAAGCCATCCCAATTGATGAGGAGTTTACGACCAGGTAGAGTTTTGGTGACATAGGTGAGGCGAGCATAATTGGGATACCCTCTGGTGTTGTAATAAGGTGAAGTAATTTGCTGGTACCCATCAACTCCCAGGACGAATTCTTGGTAAATAACTGAATGAAAATATGACAGAAATATTTTTTAAAATTGTCTGCAGGCTGGTTCCTATTGAATGTTCTGGTTAATGAATATTAATAAGACAAGAATTTGACACAACATGGTTGAGGCAAAATTTTGGACTTTGTGTCAAACTCTCGCAAACTTGCAACATGAAAACTTAGAATTGTACCAGAAATACAAGTATGAACTGGCCAGCAATGAACCAAAACAATGCTCTTTAAGGACAACTAAGCTTCTACACCCCAAAAATTGAGAATGTCTAAGGACAATTCAAGAATTTCATTTGACTGTTGTTATAAGTCACTCAAGAAAGCCAGATTGTACAGAGTACGAAGCTCACAATTCCACTATAAAACAACACCTGCAAGGAGGAAATACCTGGTAAATTCAGCAAATTGAGAACTATTTAAAGGCTTTTATGTAAAAGTGATTATTTGGTATGACAGCGTTAGGGTAGGAACACTGAAATTAAAGATTGAAAATTAGCAAGTTGTTGAAGCAAACACTTTATCCTGTTTATAATAAGCACAGGTCTTAAAAGCAAACTAAATATTTGTCCATGAATACCTCGGCATGATTCATCCTTGTTCAGAACACAATCCTGATGGTCATCACAGCGCCATCGATACGGAATACAAAATGATCCATCAAAACACCTGTATGATGATGGATCTGAGCAGAAACTGGCTAAACCTGGGGAGAAATGTTTTGGAAATGTCTCATATATTCTGTGATGTGACAACAAACCTTAAATTTGCAATGTATCATTAAACCATATACCACTATACCCCACCCTTCCTGTCACAAACATCATCAATACGGAGTGGTGGATCCAGATTGGGCATAAGGATCCTTGTGTACAGACTTCATGCACAACATTTATTGACTTCATCCTTACCTTTGTCCAGATCGCCATTAACCCCAAATATTATCAAATGATTGAACTGAAGGTTCAAGATGAGATGAACCAATTGGGAGGATATGCATGTATAGTATCAAGCCACATGACAAATGATCATCACCTCCACCACCAAGGGTGGCAGACAAGCCCTAAAAGTCCATCAGTCCACAACTCATCCAGGTCTTAAACCAAGCCACGAGCTATTCAAATAAACTATGACAACAGCATTCCTTTGTCAGTATTCATTTCCTATCTATTACTGACCAGACATGATAGATGTTTGATTGACTTAAATACATTGCCGTACACTATCTCTATACCTACCAGTATTCCCTATGGCCTGCACCTCAGCCTCAAAGCCAGCATGTTGAACACTTCTGTCAGACTGAAACCTCATCCAAACAACGGAGCTAGGAATCACCATGGGCAAGGGTTGGGCACTACCAAACACCTGTTGATGGATGGTTGTTCTATTTTCCACGTCTGTTCCCTCCCCAATGGTCAGTGTATCACAGCAACTTTCTATTTGTAGCGATAGGAATTTAATCACAACATATCCATCTTGGGGTGCTGTGATGATCCAAATGCAGTCAGCATAATTGGGATAGGCATTAGGGTGATTGGGAGACGAGATAGTGACATAATCAAAGACAGCTGGGAGTGAAATGCTACGATTCCCACAGAAGTAGTCTTCTCCTAAAAAATAAAGAAAGAAACAATTGGAATTCGAACCGTGGTTTGTGAGAGGCAGTTGGAAACAAGTTTGAAAACTTTCTCAGCATTAATCCCATTGTTTTAAATAAACATTTCTGAAAAAGAACAATTCATTACACATCTCATCATATGTTCATAGAGTTTTGTTCAAATCATTTAAGGCTAAGTTTTCCCACAATTACTGGAACAGATGCATAATTGGTATATGAACGGTGTGAAATCTTCAGCAAACTCCTAGTTATGTACACCAGAGCATCATGCTACACCCTTACAACCTCTCAATCCTACATAACAATGCTGCATTCACTATAACCACTCTAGTGACAGAAAGAAAACTTGTACCTTGATATCAATATTAATCCACTTACCACTCTCACACAGCCCTGACGCATGCGTTAATCCTGTAGGGTATAATTTACACTCCAGGCTGAATGATAGCTGGTTGAATAGGGTAGCACAGGCAGTGGAAACCTCCTCGCATGTCTGTCTACATAGAGTCAGTCCAGTTCCATTTGCCTTACATTCAGGAAGGAGGCTGGTGCACAGGACAGTGCTGACGAGACTGTGGCAGTTGAGGAGCCCAGATGATTGTGCTGAGTTCATGACCTCGGTTACCGTGGACTGGGTAGTGGGATAAGTCGAGGAGTAGGACAAGGCTGAGATGCATTGTGGGACTTGAACTGATTCACACTGGTACTGTGGGGCTAAACGATGGATCAGAAAGAAAAATTTGTGTGATAAATATTTCTTGGAATACTTTTTAGCAAGTACCCCAGTCCAGAAAATGGACATGCCAAAATTTTCTCAATCATTTTCTCAGGCTACAATAAAAAAGACAATTGAACAAACAAAGCAAATAATAACAAACTACACAGATGGATGGATATGGACCTTGGAAAACACAAATGAAAAAGGAAAAACAGCAAGTCCAAAGTTTTGTGAACAAAGCAGAAAAACACAATTCATAAATCCTTTTGTTTCCGGTTTCAACTGTGACAGTAAGCTTCTGTAACATAAGATTGCGTGTTTGTGTTCTAAAGTGCATCTCATGAAGAGACTGAGTTATGAAATCCTTCTTACTGCCATAAACGATAGACAATGCCTCTTCCCAGTAATTGGAGATCTTGAGGAAAGTAGCCTTTCTACAGTCATTGGAGGCCGAGTCAGCGATACCGATTAGACTCCAAACACGTGTCATGTTATTCTGACACACTAAACCAGATGCTAGGTCACTCTGTGGGATGAGAAACAAAATGAATTCATAAAGAATATTTTTTGGATATGATAACACTGGTAGCGATTAAGGAAAGTGGTGGACCCTCGAGCAAACTGATTTCAATGAAGTTTGGACATCGGCTTCTTGAGTAAATTCTTTCAATGAAAAATTTCCTTCTTCAATACTAGTCTGAAGTAGACACTAGAAATGGGCTTCTTAGTGGTGGGCATGGCTAAAATCAAAGTTGAATTAGCTCAACGCTATGCCAGATAGAAATGTACAACGTCATTTAGTTTCCCATACTTGTACATGTATATGTACTTACAACGCACACATCAACATTGGGAAACTGCGCACAGATGAATTTGTCAGTCAGGTCCAGGAAAGGATACGTCTCTGGGCAGGGACCATCTGAAATACTGGAGGCAGATGCAGTCTGTAGATTATCTTGATTGGTGTCTGTAGATTGGAAAGAATTATGTCACTGTTGATTAAATGAAGTCAAACAACAGGGCTCTATCATTTGATTTCAGTGAAATTAGGCAATCTTTCCTGAGGATGCCTTTTAGAACCACTCCTTACTTTTTAAGATAGAAATCAAATTTTTGAGAACACAAAACCACTAAATATTTACAAGTTCCAAGAACAGTTAACAGTTCTGAAATATTATTCATCTTAAAACTAATTTCTCTGCATAATGATGAAAAAGGAGAACATGTCAGTACAAACAGCAATTATGAAAACAGAAATTACAGAAAAAGGTGTCCCAACTGTAAAGACTCATTGGCCATCCAAGGCACCCACTATAGTCAAATATTAACATGCTGTAGCACCATGGAGCTATTATACACAAGGAGTAAGCACATACCGAGATCAAAAGGGTCAATGATGGCCACCGCAAGCACTGCACGTGCTGCAAGGACTAAACAAATTACGCGCCACTTGCGGGTTATAAGGAATGCTCGGAGTTGCATTCGCAAAGAATTGTGGGTACTGCGCATGCGTGTCCGTAACACTTCCGCATGTTCAACATGGCCACCTTGAGACGGAAACCACCATCATCAGAGACTTAAATTTTGATAATTTTAGTGATTGTTCGATGACTAATGAAAATCTCGTTACGTCTTTACATTCCCAAAACGTCTCTCTTAACAGTAAACAGAATTACTAACTAATACAAATTCTCCAAAAATATGCACAAGAAAACTGAAAGAATGTAACTGGTACAAAGGAAAATAAAAAACAAAACATGGGAAGATGCGTTGTCCATTCTGTCACTGTCCACAACTGTCTCAGCATAAAATCTTGCTACGTTGTCAAATGCATTTCTGTAGCATATTTCCACCTTCTTTTAATCCTAGGATTGCGACTTACGATATAGATATTGCAGTTCATATTTTGGGTATTTGTTCTCTACCAGTGGAATCGCAAAATGTCATAACTGACTTTAAAAAGTCCGACTTTTTGCCAACTAACCCCCGCCGATTCAGAATTTTCGAGCGCATCTGCGGAGATCACTCGCTGACTCCTGACAGCTACTGAAGAGAACTACGCATCTTCTTTGTGCCTCATTTCCACCATTTATTTACTCCAGTATGCCGTAATGAAACACAGGGAGTATGTGGGTAGCCATGCAGCTACCTGCATGGCGATGGCAATCATTGTGTACAAAGAATGTCTAAGGGTCTTCAACACTGGGGCTGGTAACCGCACCTTACCTATGGAGCCGACCCAGAGCAGTTAATCAGATTTTGGTCTGTGGGAGCTTCGTTCTATCTAACTCCTTGTGTTTAATAGTTCCATGATAGTACCAAGGTCAAAAGCTACATGTTTTTGCAACATACTTACTATTCAAAGTGCCCCATCCTGCTACATAACAATTGCTATAAGACACTGCTGGTTGAGCATCACGCTGGAGACACACTGGACCAACGTCCTGACTGTACTCCACAGACTGAGTCATTTTAAGAAATGCAACATCATTGTCATAAGTAATAGGGTTGAAACCAGGATGGGGGTAAACTCTTGCAATTTCACGTTCAATGTGGACATCTGATTGGCTGTAGGTGCTGGTGATGTCACCAAAGACTACAGACCTGAACGAACCACCATCCCTGAAAAGCAAGCAAAATAAACAGTTTTAATTACTACATACCTTCAGCTCAACCAGGTTTTAGTCTAGATTATGTACAGAATATTTGAAATGGTGAATGGAAGTTGACCTCACTAACTCTAATTATTGCAAATGACATTTTCTTCAAGATTCATCCAACTTTAATACCAGCTGATTTCCAAGGCAAATAAACCACTTGCAAACTTTCAAGGTCTTTCTGAATATCAATGAGTACACAAAGGTATTATTTGTGCTTATCCAGAAAACACCTGATATAGGAAATTAACATGCATTCACTCCCAAGCACTGAAATGCCCAATATTCCTAAATTTGTTACAAAATTCTTCTACAGATAAAACAAAATCAACGTAACTGTTGAGGGCAAACTTCTCACTGCTTCACTACCTGTAAACCTGGACATGCCATACATGTAGAAGTGTACCTTCTGTTGCTACGGTACAGCTTAAACTGATCTACTGCAATAGATGACATATTTTTAAGTAGCCGGAACAAGTTTGGTTCTCAATGCAACACAGCGATGAACCCAACAAAGAGCTAAAGTTGTCTCACAATAATTCATGAAGACCCAAACATCACAGGGCTGAGCAGAAATGAAGGACGTATCTTACCCAACACAGCTCACGGAGGTCAGCGCCCAGTCATGACTCAGCAAGGTCACCCCACATTTGTGACCATCCCGATATCTGAATGACCCCACCCATGGCCATGTACCCCTGGCTGTTGCATTAGGAGGGGATGGGGGTGCCTGACTGGATATGCCACACTCTGGTGGGTTTAATACACCTGCAATGACACAGAACATATACGGTGGATGAATTTAATGTCCAAATGTAAACAAAAAACCTTTTAAAACATTAACCATTGGTTGACAAATGAAAATTGAGATGTAGAAAGCTAGTTAAAACTACTATTAAAAAGCCACATAAAATTAAGTTTCTCCCACCCTGATGGGACTTCAATTAATTTACAATTAAAAAAGCAAGAACCCCTAATCTGACACATATAGCTTAGTGTGTTTTTCTACAATAAGCCCACTGGAAACTCAACGACATAATTCAACTAATTCAGCATAGGCAAAATGTTTTTCCTTTCTGTGTGGTTTTTAGTGGTTGCAGAAAATTCCACTCAATCTTTTCATCTTTTCAATCTGTTTGTCAGGCTGGTTTGAAAAAAATCCAAACCCTATAATTCCCTCTGCCTGCTTTGTACACAACCATAATCTGTCATATTTCATTTCAAGCTGAAATTTTAAAATAAGATTACAAGTTTGTCCTTTAAAATATGTTTGTTATGATAATATTTCTGAGGGCACACCTGCAGCCTATTATTAGGAAATCCTCTTTGGATCTAACTAAGTTAAATTCACACACCCTGAGGTAGGCTTACCAAATAGCAGACAATGGCCTATTATTCAGAAGGCACTGTGCTTTACTGAAAGACTGCCTTCCAAATACTGTGAAACTTAAGTGGCCAATAAACCTCACATTTTTTACAAATAATGTTGAAAGGATCCAGTTGACTGTTTGGAATTTCCCAACGTTGAGTCATATCTTTTGGCTTTGTGGACTTATCCACATTACGATTCAACCACATGTCAACATTTTGCTGTCTTTGCCATTTTAGTAAAACAAAATAGAAGCAAAAACATTAAATCATACAGGCCTGCTGTCCCTTTTCAAATTTTTTTGTATGAATTCCTGTTTTATTCCAATTGAAAAAATGTTTCTCTTCTGTTTTTGTGGCCCCAAAAAGAATTTAAACATGTTTTGATCCTGTTTTCAGCAAAAACACAGGTCTGTTAGTCCCTCTTTCATTCCTGTTTTAAAACTGTTTTCTTTCACACTGTTTTAGCCTGTTTAACCCTAACAGTCCCAATTCCTCTGATTTCAATATGATTTTACATATACCCTAGGGAGTTAGGGTTAAAGCCTGTTTTATTCCTGTTTTTAGCAATTCCAAATACAAATTTTTTTTTTAGAAAATATCTTTGTAATAGGAAAAAAACCTGTTTTATTCCTGTTTAAATTAGATTAGGTGTGTGTCATTCATTACTGTTTTTAATGCTAAAATTTCCTACATTCTCCTGAATAGGTCCTACAACCTCTCATGGGGCATTTCTACATTATGCAGTATTTCATCACTGGGAGAACTTCATTTAGATACTCTGTAAATATCTTACGATCATAATTTTCTGTAGAAGTATCTAAAAAGCAAATAAAAGGTTTCCATTCAACTTAGAATGACAAGGCATATGCAAATTACCCTGAGCTGTAAGTAGATCCAAATCAAAGTGCCATGTGGGTTACTAAGCAAGATATCAAGCCAGCTTTGAATTTCAAAGGGGTATACTTTCAATGGTAAGCAACTGGTGGCATAACTGGGGTAATATTTCTGGGGATGAAGGCACCTAGGGGAACACAGATTTTTCAAAGAACAACAAAAGCAACTATGGCTTGTATAAGTTGTGGATCATGGAGCCATAGCTTCATGACTGAATGCATGTCAAGATTTCAAACAGGGAAGGGAGGCACACAGACATTCTCTAGGGGACATGTGCCTCCTGTCAGCAAATGTGAAGTTTATTACTTGTCTGAAAGCAGAAATGTAAATTAAGTAAACCTTTGCAAAGTGCTTGCTGGCTACAGTGACTTAAAGTCTTCAAATCGGAGAGATTAGATGACCTAATATTTCCATCCTAGATTCTTTTAGGACCAAACTGTCAGGCCTCTTTTACAATTATCAGAAAGCATAAAACTTACTTGGTCTGGGTGTGGAAGCTTCTGCTGTGGTGGATTCATAAGAGGCAGTAGTCATGACCATCTGTGAACCAGACCAAACAAAACTAGTAGTTTGAATCAGTTGATACTTCTTCAGAGACATAAAAGGCTACTAACTTAGGTCTGAAGATACATGAGAAATTGAAATAGTAATGTGGGTGGATTCAAACTGAATGTTTGGCCTCTCAAAGATGCACGTACGTAATCAGTAAATACTCATGTAACAATATTGCTCACCAAAAATAAATCTTTTGGTGATTTACTGTTTTCATGAGCAGGAAATATAACCTTTGGTTCTGTTCTTGGTAGATGCAATAAAAAAATGACTTTTGTAGTTTTAGGTTTTAAGTTTCTGATTTGTTATACTTTTTAGTACTTTTTCAAGGTTTGTACAATTAATGTCAATAACTTTATATCCAAGTTCTTGTTGTTTAATCATGACGAATAATAAAGAAATGACATGAAAGGAAAAAACACAGTTGCAGTAACGCATCCCCAAAGTGACTACATATAATATTTAACCCTAACAGTCTTCAGTCCTCCAACAGGTGAAGGATTGAGGACTGTTAGGGTTAATGAAATCTAATCCTATTAAAAACTGAGACAACGATTTTGTCAAATAGCTTCCTCTTTTATCCTCCTCTGTAAGCATCTCAAATCTCTCTGCTACAAACTATCAGGACAATCCAATAAACATGTATAAAGAAATGTTTCAGATAAAGAAATAGGTAGCAATTATTCTAGTCCTCTATCCCGCACTCTTCCGCTCCCCCACTGAAAAAGACATGGTAACAGTTTGAAAAATAATGAAGAATGCTCTTGAAATGTTTAAACAGAACATGTAATAAGACAAGACTGATATAATAGCACAAATTTACCTTTGATGTTAAAGGTATGTCCACCGTGGTGGTCAAGGGAACATCTTCTGTTGTTATGGCAACCTGTGTGGTTGTGACAGGATCAGGGACAGGTGTGATGGAAGCTCGCATTGTGGTAGTGGTGGACATTGTAACTGGCTGGACGGTTGGTGTTGAAGTTGGTGGTGACGGTGTTGGCTGGAGAGTCGGGGTTGGGGTAGGTGGTGACGGTGTTGGCTGGAGAGTCGGTGTTCGGGTTGGCGAAGGTGTTGGCTGAAGAGTCGGTGTTGGGGTTGGTGGTGACGTTGTTGACTGGAGAGTCCGTGTTGGAGTTGGCGAAGGTGTTGGCTGGAGAGTTGGTGTTGGGGTTGGTGATGATGGTGTTGGCTGGAGAGTCGGTGTTGGGGTTGGTGGTGATGGTGTTGGCTGGAGAGTCGGTGTTGATGTTGACAATGGAACTGTTGGCTGAACACTTGGTGCTGAGGTTGGCAATATTTCAATAGTGACTGAAATGATAAAAATGATTAGAAGAAGATTCATCAACCAAAAATGCAATTAACCTTGGAAAGAAGACAAAAATATTTCCTCAGTCATCATTCCTTGAGTTACATGGATGGTGTTGGCTGGAGAGTTATGATAACATAATTTCAGTAGCAAGTATATGCACTACTTCTCTGCACTCTCACCATAAAAGCAGCTCAATCAATTTTTTCAAAATGGGAGGGGAATATGACTTATGTCCCTATGCAGAAACCAGAACCTGGGGAGTAAAAGCCTAAATTTGTTCCTAAAAGCAGCCAGACCCGAAGTGTGTTTTCAAATTATAACAAAACAGCTAACATTCAGTGCACAAACATCACATTAGTTTTGCAAAAGAAAATGGAAAGTAACAAAATTGCCCAGGAGATGAGAATAGTCTGACAGAAATCACCAGTTTCATAAGTAGCTAGTTTATTCCCTAGTTAACTGAATATGCAAAAAGGGGAAGAAATAAGGAGCATACTACAAATATTGTGCAATGAACACATTAGATACAAATCACATTTCTGTACAAATTCCTTAAAACATGTTTCTATTCTGTTTCTGTGCCCCCAGAATGTAAACATGTTTTGATCCTCTTTTCTGCATTGCTCTAGAAAACAGCACATCCACTGGAAACAGGATCCATTTTTAAAATATATTTTATTCCTGTTTTTAAGAAAACAGGATCCTTTTTAAAACAGTTTTCTTTTACATTGTTTTCAGTCTGTTTAAGCCTGTTTTATAGTGCTGTTGTTAGCAATTCCAAATGCAATAATTTAAAACATGTTTTTAGAAAACATGTTTGCAATAGGAAAAAAAGGGTTTATTTCTGTTTTCAGTAAATGGATCCTGTTTTGGACGAGGGTGATCACTGCCTTCTATAATAATCACAATCCAAACAGATCTTAGTATCATACCTTGCATGACTTGTACTGTGCTTGAATTTATGGCAAGTCCTTGACAGCATGCACCATTGTCAACTGCTGTGGTGATAGTGTCCGCGATCTTTATCCCGATCCGGGTTTCTAGGGGTGTGTCATTGTTCGGGTCTGCCGTTGGTGCCAACGACAGCACAGTATCAGTGAATAACAACGTAGTGCCAACGTCTACGCTACCAGGGCTGAAGCTGTTAATATTGGCTCCAATGTAAGTGCCCCTCAAATCACTGGTTAGGAACAAATTATCCATCTGGGTAAGGAGGAAGAGACACTGGTATCAGCGGAATATTCCAACAGAAAATACATGTATTAACTTTCACACTGTGAAAAGTGGAAAAACAATAGGCTGGTCCCCTATTTGTTTTTTAAACAGTAGACTTTTTCCTAAATCAGCAAAATAGCATATCAAAATCCTATTTTTACTGAAGACTATACTTTACTATAGTTTAGCTATATACAATTCTCCTTTGAAATATTGTGATCAGTTCTGTTTAAGAAATTGAAAAGCAAACAAGAAACCGGGTATATTCCAATCTTTTCCATAAACTGTCATTGGTGATTTTGTAGATGAAGCCTTCTAGATGTTTTGCTATTGGCCGTAAGCTGATCATCCATACTCGATAAAAATCATAGAAATAAGCTGTTAAGATATCAAATTGGGAGTTAAATATGAAACATTCAACTTACAGCAGCAGTGAAAGTGGCCTTTAGTTGCATATATTCTGGTGACGAGGGGTCATTGTAACCTGGCAAAAATGGCTGCATCAACCTCATTGAAACATTAACCATTGCTGCAACACAGAGAAGATAATATAATATTGGAAAACGTCTCAGGAAAAAAAAGGGCTTAACTCCAATGTTCTTGTTACTGATTTTTATATTTAGGATTTCTGAAACCAAAGCAGAGCAAGCAAAGGAAAGAACTCACTTAATCATCACATTTCTCCTTCTAATGTATGGTTTTTTTTTCAGCCAACTTATGGACAATTGTTCAATTTGAAAATGTCAACAACCTACCTCCTGGAGGAGATTCTGTTGTCACTCCTGCGGATATAGATATAAATGCTAGCATTTATCCAATGCATCTGATTCAAAATACATCACATAATTTGGAAAAATAAACACAGACACAAGTAAATTTAAAATATTTGGTGAGCTACCGCTTAAGACAATGAAACCAACTTCAGTGCCAGTTTAAAGCCTTGTATTTCATGTTGATACGTAATTTAAGAGCTGGTTTGAGGCTTTGCTAAATCAAATATTCAGAGAGAGATGCTAAATCATTTAAAACCTATTGTGTGTGGTCTCAGGGCAAGGTCTGGTATTTTATATGTCCTTAAACTTCCTGTAGGCTCCAATTTTTCAGTGGATATACTGGCCATGCATTCAAGTCTCAGGACAAACCGTGACTTGAAAGTTGGTTTTCAGCAGTACAGAAACACTTATTTCCCAACCCTGATTTAATTCATTTTACCTGGAGGCTGAGTTGGTGCCACGGTTGATGCTGTGGAGTTATCCCCCTCCAGCTCTTGAAATAAAAGAAAAAGAAAAATCTCTCAATTACCGTCATTATCCTGGAGAAATGACAAAAGACAAAACAGTAAACAATTAAATCATGACCTTTGAACTTGTGACCTCCAACATTACTGATACTCACGAATTACGTAGACGATGACAAAAATCACCAGGGCGATGAGAAGAAGCACGGCAAGAATGGAGAACAATGCAAGGGCCCAGTAAATGAAACTCCTGCGATCATTGTTTGACTTGGGTATTGGCACTTGCCTAAAGGGGAAAAAAATAGGATGACAATTAAGTTAACAGGTGAATTATTTTCTCTTGCAAGTGTGGATGAAGTTATCCAAACAACAGTTTTTGCTTGTGTTTTTTGGCATATGCTCATTTTCCAGTCTTAGTATATTACTAATGATGTGAGTTTCTTTGAAGTACCATACAAAGAGGCCTACGTTTTGACAAAATTTACCACTTTTTTGTTTCTTGGAGAGCATTTTGTGCATGGTTCATGTTTTTCTCATCTCATTAAATGAATAATCCCAGCATGGTAGAGATTTTTTTTTGCCAATAATAGTTGACACTTTTGTTGAGTACATGTCTGAAATAAGTAAGCTAGATCCAAAAAGAAATCTGTGTTTATGCAGATTTACACTTTATTTTAGCTTTGAATAGCAGTAACACAAATATCCCATCCAGAAAATTTCCTCAATCTTCGAAATTCCTCCACAACTCTGGAAACAAATGACGCATCCTTCATACTAAAGCTTTCAAAGGGCATCAAGCCCTACACGAAATAATAGTCAGTCCCAATGGGTCAATCACTACTCAACTAAATGAAGTTTTGGGACACCTGTTATGCTGTTCTATTTATTTCTAGTTGTAATTGTGGAAAGAAGTTCAAGTTTTTGAAAAAATAAACCCTTCATCTGATGAATTACCTGCCAGGATAGGAGTGTCTGGATGTTTCTCTGTGTGGTTTGATCTCTCCATCATTTCTTGAGATGTAATATGGTCGGTTGTAGTACTGGTCATAGTGGGGCTCATAATCCCTTTCAAATCCATAATTTTCTTCACCCCTGCCAGCATGTGGACGGACAGACTATGGAGAGAAAATAGGAAGTCAAAATATGATAAATTATCTTTATTCCAGCACAGCCATGAATGTTGTAGTATCTACCCCATCCATTGCTTTTAACATTTATACACAATTGAAAATACTTGGGAATCAGATCTAAATCTGACTAACCCACTTTCAATTCGATCTAAACTAAGGTTAAGACTTGATTTGGATCAAAGAGCACATCTTCAGTACATCCTGTGTTGAGGCAGGTTAGCCCTAATTTTTGGATTTATAATCAAATAATTATTTACAATGTTCAAAACTTTTGATTGTCAATCCATTATTTCATAATGCCCAAAACAAACAATGCCGCACCCCCACCAAAAATTTCAAACCAGAATTTGGAGTATTTTGGGCTTTACGTTTGGACAACACTTGTACCCCTACTCATATCCAGAGTACATGTATCTTTCCAAGTACAGGTATGTACAGACCTATTCTGTTTACAAAAGGAAGATAAAGAAATCTTAAGAGCAATTATATAAACAGTGCCCACACTTTAGCTAATCAGCTTCAGTTAACAATTCATTATCTCATCATAACAACACAACAGGAAACTGCTCATGTCAATTAGTACAACATTCTATCAAAGATACAGAGCCATTGATTTCTTCTTGTTATTCAGGGTGTGTGCCATGTTTTCACAATCACAAATCATCTGGCACTCTGGAAATGAATAACTTACAAACGATGCTGATAAACAATAAGAAAAGTACACTTTGAGCTTCTGAGACTAACGTCAACAACAACCATGGACAAATTAAATGTTAAAAATGCTGTTCAACCATACTAACAAGGTCCTCAGAGTGAAAACAAAATCAAGTATAGTACATGTAGCTGCATTCAATTAATATAAAATGACAACTGAAAAATAATGAGAAATAACTACCCACAATGTGTCATTTATAATGGATAAGTTGAAAGATGAATGTGCAGGCCACTAACAGAAAAAATATCCCCACTGCATCAAGAAAGAAATAACTAAGTTTGTCCCAATTGGCCAAAGATTTTAATTGAATAGGCCTACATTTTGGTCTTTTTTTGCTTTTTGTTTGGCTTTGTTGTTTTGGGGGGTTGGGAATGGGGTGGCACTCATTCTAAAATAAATTGGTCTTGGAAAAAGTCCACGAAAGGTAAAATTCAACATTTTTCAGAATGGTGTATCAAGATAATGCCACAGTCACGGTGAAGTCCAAGCACTTAAAACCAAAATGCTGGGCCTGAGTTAATTAAAATTTTTGATGACACGTGATAATATCTTCCATCTTATACTCTTCTACAATGATACTTTGTCACAAATCTATAACAGCTCAAGGGACAGACCAAGAACCAAATTATTGGGAAGGGACAGCTTGTTTTTTGAGGGGGCCAAAAATATTGGAATTTTTTTATGTAACCCTTTTTGGCCTTTCTGAGGGGTGAAGTTGCATTTTGGAGGCTTTTCACACACTTTTGGAAGAGAATTGAAATTGACCACAAAAATCCTCAATGACTCGGCAACAAAAGGCAATATGTATGTGTAAAACAGTGTATCCAGCTTTTGGTGTTGGGGGCAAATTTGCATTTTTCAGGCAAAATACTTTACAGGGTCAAAACCTGGGTGGAACATTTTTGGAACTTTTTGTCTAGCTACCCTTTTATGCTCCAATTGTAAGGCACTGGTGCATAATGTATGGAATGAGCCCACATTTCCAATAACAATGCATACAGTGCAGGGGATACCAAAGGGTTGAAAGAGCCCCAAAAAAAGTTGGGGAAAAAGAAACGATATTTCTTTACCCTCAGCCCCCGACAGACTGCTCACTGAAGTTGGCTTGTTATAGTGTACGTGATGCAGCCTTGTCCTGATATAGGTGAGTTCAATTTTCAATTCAATTACAATGAAGTATGCTCCAGATATTTACTGTTTTTACAAGGATGGCAACTGCTAGAAAAATCAAAATGGTACACTAGCATAATGCAGACTATTACTGATGGTTGATGACAAAAACAACAGAGGGTATCTCTTCAGAGAACATGTAAATAACAACCACTGAGTTCAATTTATGACTTTTCATACAAAATAAACATGCAACTTTTTTCAAAAAAGGCTTGAGCATCTGTGTGTTCCTGGGCATCACTTGAATGTCTGAAGGTGACATTAAACACTCTTCCCACAAGTTCACCTGTGAACTACATGTACAATGTATGTATATATTAAGATAACACTGGAATGATTGTCACTGGTATGGGAACAATTTTTCTCGGCATGTTTGGGACAAGGGAATGAAAAGCCCACTGATGAGGTGTAAAAGAAAAACATGAAATGCTAAATTTCCAATGGCTAGTTGAAAGAAATCAAGACTCAAAGGTCAGCAGTGGGAATGAGGGATTAACAACTGAAAGCAGACTCCACTCCCTAATCCGAAAGAGTGAAACTAGGGACAAAATAATTTACAGTGAGAATCACTGTCAATTTAGATTGAAATACTCTGACAAAATAATCACTTCAGTCAGAGCTTGAGTGGAAACTCGATCTTTTTAACTGAAGAAATTCACTCTAAAATGTCTGGTCTTTAGTTTCCAATTGTGGGAGTGAATTTTCACTCGAAAAAATTGAGTTGTCACTCTTTGGAATTTAGAGAGCACCCAACCTGGTTTAGAAATCAAATAGTCGACAAAACAGTGTTCTCCCAGTTTCTTTTGAAGCAACAAGATTAAAGCTCTTTAGCAGCAACAGAGGATAGACTACAACCTTTTTTGAATAAATGTTGCACTCAAACTCTACTTTGCACAGCCTCATCTCCCTAGCCCTGTGAAGGGATAAGTCTAAATCTACTCATAGGCCTATGACAAGTCTACAACATATAAATATAGTTTGTATCAAAAATCTTTATTGAAAGAACAGTAATGGACCTGCACCGTTTTCATAGATTTTTGGTGTTTGAAATATTAGCACATATCTAAAAGTCAAGTACACAGGACAAGAAAAAGGCGCTGCTTGTAAATATTTTTGCCATTAGCAGAATACCCCAAACTGTAAACTAATTACCTGTCTATTTAGTATTTTGTTTTTCATCAATTTTAATTCCTGTTGGCAGTCAAAATAAGTGCTACCAGTAGCAAGGCATGACTGAATGAAAATAAGAAACAAATGCCATATCGGGTAATCAGACCATCGTAATTTGGAGTATCAAAGGGGAATAGGTTTACCATGCTTTTCAAATCCATTTCCCCAGACACATAAGGCCCCTTTCCTCACTAAAATCCCATAAAATTATCAGACAGCCCTTTTAGAACTTGTTGGTGTTTATAGCAATCAAAAACTGTGACATTCCAACACGGAATTCCGCTGAATATTTCCCTCTTCTTAATTCCGGACAGACGGAAAATAGTCTCCAGGTGACGTTTCTTTGATAGGCTATCGGAATAACTGGGTTTTTTTTTCAGCAATTATAAATTGAGAACACAACGTATGTCAGAAATGAGCAAAATGCATTTCCGCATCTCTCGACGGATTAGGTGAATTTAAGCCTCGATCTTACGAAATAAGTTATACCGACCGCTACATGCAATATGCATGCATAGCCCGTGGCAGGCTTGTAGAAACGGTAAGCTTTCTGGCTGAAACAAGTCCCAAATTGGAGTCTTACCCAAGCACCGACGTCCCGATGTGGGTCATAGGGGCGAATCCACCCGTCTTCCTCCCTCCCATCACGGTAAGCTTGTGGCGATCGAGATGGCATGATAACCTCGGTCACTCCTCAGTCTCAACTGAAAATGGATGGTTTCAGTTCAACCAGTCCTCTGGTGGACCTCTTTAATTTTCTTTCATGAGATCTAAGCACTACACGTGAATAGATGCACGGTGGCCAAGCGTATTCTGTCTGACATAAAAGGGTCGGCTTGGGTGTGTTGTCGCAATTGATTTGTGACGCGTTCATCCACGCTTGAATGGTCAGAGTGAACTGCGTCAAACAAGTTTCGGTCCACGGTCCAAAAACGAAGGGCTGAGCTATGACTCGTACTCATTTACCCGGAACTGCTCAGTACTTGTGTGTGGTTTATGGTTTGACTGTGCAAATACTCGTGAAGTCAGCTTCCTCAATATAATAGCTAGAAATATTTGGGCACCCTCATGAACCTATTCAACTGTTTCGTTAATCATTAAACCAGAATATGTGCGAAAAACCGTATAAGTATTGATATGACACAGCTAAACGGTGGGCCTGCTGGCAAAATCGCAACAACAGCCGGAACGCAGTGGTGACATTCCACTGAAACGCTGCTTATGATTTTATGGTAACCATTTATTTACCGTAACGACCAGACAGGAAATTGTAACTTCCACAACCATGGATATGTGGACGTGTAAGGAAGTTCGTGCTAGTCAGTCCGCCCGTTCAGTTTGTCAAGGGCGTCGCACTGTCGCATGCGCCCGGACGACACTTCCTCCACAACATTGATGTCATTATTAAGCCCATGGCTCATTTATTGCACATCCAGCTGTAATTCCATCTTTAGGCGTAATGTATCGGCCCACCAAGCTTTTTGGGGGGAGGGGGGGTCTCCCATCACGTCTACAAAGCAGCCCCCAAGCTTTATCTGGCTGCCAAGTTCAACTCAGTTTTTGGATGCTGCATTTACAAGTTAAAACAAACAAACAGACAAAAACAACCACAAAGTATGCCCCAAAATGCACTAAACCTGAACTTATGTGGACTCTGGTCTATGCCACGGCTTTTCTACTTCCGACAGACCTCCTTTCCCCGCTACACATTTCCATATCTCTTTCAGTTCCGTCAAGCTTAAAGTTAAAACTTGGAGAACACTGCGCAAAAAAAGTGCACCATCTGGGCCGCAATAAAAGAGTAATTGGCGTATGAAGCTAAAAAACTAAAATTTATTAGATTCCCTTGACAAACCAGGGCTTTAGAGTAATTCTTCAGCATGTTTTTTAAAATCGATACAGATTCATACTGAAAAATCGTTATAATAACCACAGCATGGCATCCATGTTGCGGACGGTCGTACCACTGAGCTAAATGACACGCACTAGTATATTTAGACGTCCTTGAACTGAGGTTTATCAGTACTGTTCAATCACGTTCAACATCATATTTGACCACTTTACATCATGAAAACATCCTCTGGTCTGGGAATGGCTCCCGTTGCGCAGGTGTAGATATCACGAGGTTATTTCGTCAAGTGTGCGAGGAACATTTCTGTCGTCTTCAGGTCTTTGAAGAACCACGTATGTACACCTGTCTAGTTGAGACGGGAACTCAACATGCACAATAACTTTTATAAGTGAATGTACGACGAGATGTAATAACAATGTACAGTATGCATTTGGAAACATTTACGTTTATGGGCCTACTGTCATTCGGAAGTGAAATAGATTTCTGTTTTAAATTACTTTCTAGGAGAAGAATTTCAGTTTGTATAACGAAAAAGGCGATTTTGTCATTGAACATACGGGCACTAGATCGCGGGCCTTTTGGATAGTTCCCGCTAATTCATGTGACTATAAACATTTTATACATTTCTGTTCCCAATCGTTCAACGGTTTTGTGGAATATTTTTGAGAAAACCCTTAGACTATTCCCAACGAACCCGACGAGTCCTCCACTCCATTGCTAGTTTGTACACAGCGAATTCGATGTTCAACGGTTTCATTTCCTACCAGTGATGTCATAGGAATTTTGGGATTCAATGCAATCCACTCCCCTTTTCCTTGTAAACGGACTCACAGCCTCGATTATGTGACTGTGCATGTTGTTGGGTTGAATTGTGGTTGAATCATTCCTTGAACAAAGTCACACTCGCCCTACATTCAAAAAAAAAAGTGCGGTTTCACACTAGACTAGTGTGAACTAGTCTACGATTAACCACATTAACTACGATTGAACCACACTAACGCACGCGTTCATTTGGGAAGTCACATCATCTTATTGGTCTAAGAGGCACATAACGCGCGCGAATCACCTGTCCACGAGCGTTGTGCTATCGCAGTGAGGCTTTGCGTGGTAGCCACGCAGAGTCGTGCCTGTATTCCACACTGAAACCTCATTATATAAAACTGTGGAAATCCTCCACAACCGCACTCGAAATTAGGAAGAACGTTAGCGAGATTTTAACTGTCTTCACACGTAGAGCGGAAACTTGTCCAAACGCCCTTCTTTATTCCGAGTTTAAAACCGGTCCCCATTATGCACAAGTAATTTGGTTGAGGGACTGAAAACACAATCATACATTCGGTTGTGCAATTGGCCCTATCTTTACAGTACATCTACATGTACATGTATATCGTATTGCGGCAGCAGACGAATATTTTCAGGTGGCAAATTTTATGTCCTTGAACTCCAAAGAACAGTCACTGTGCTGTTCCGTAAAGCGCCTCTCCTTTGTTACGGAATTGCAGAAACCTGCCACACATATTCTGTATCTGTGCAACGAATGATATTATTTGTTAAGCTCTTTGTCGCCGTCTCGAACCTTGCCATATTCTCCGAGGGTAAGTTGAATATTTGTATTGAATACAAAAGAGCTGTTAACGTTGGGTAAAAATTTCCACGGCCTGAAATGTTTTTCCGACTGGATGGACAGAAGAGCAAATCTCTGACCTATACTCTTGTGCAATGCATTGGCCCAAAATAGGCGTAGCTAGGCAAAGTTTATTCCCGGGAAGAATACCCATAATTTCTTTTCCACAGCTGTTTTTCCCAATCAACTGTTTCCCAATGATTATTTTCCTTTTTTTTTCAACCGCTTGAGAGTTTCCTCAAAAATGGTTTCCTATTTTCCAAGAGATGAAAGAAAGAAGAATTTCCTATTTTCCCAGAGATTCTTTACATGTAATAAGACGACGAATCTGTTTCCATACATTTCCTAAGTTTACATATAAACAAGATTTTGAAAATAACTGAGAGCCAACTTGTTCTTTGTTTTAAAGCCCCTACTTGTTTGATACAAGTTGTCAGCTCTCGTATACTGTAAACTATCGCGATGACTGTAGTGGTTTTAACTTTCTGTATAAATCGTTAATTAGGTTACGAATGGCCGACTTCAATACCCGATATATAAACAAATTTTCTAGGGCTTGAAATTGAGAAAGCTTATATTCGATACTCTCTGCACGGCTTCTGTATGATCACCGAAGCTTTCGGGTAAAGTCAAGTGTTTACTCGCAGAAATTGCTTTATTCACGTTCATCCGATGATGGAAATACTAACTTGATAAAGATGTGGCTTCATCGGTGGCATAAAATGGGGCACGAAAGAACAGGGAAGGGAGAGAAAATTAAATTTGGATAAAGTAGGCTACTGTGACACAAAAACAAGAGTACTTTGTATAGGCACTAATTTGGATCTGAAACCTGCGCCGCTCTTTTCAAAGTTTCTTTGTTGGTTTTTCTTGTAGATAAATTTTCTGTTGAAAACTTACCGTTGGAAGGAATACAGCCTGACCTCAGATGTGTTGAGTTTTTGTCCGTATCAGGTATTGGATTAAAAGTCAACATAGCCACACGCTCAATGGAATTGTAACAAATCTTTATAGCCATGAATTCAAAGTTATCTAATAACAATGCTAAAAACGGAAATGGCCGTTCCTCTAGCCAACATTCTATCATTTTGGGTGTGCCTCTGTAGTCTGTTTAAGGACAATATTTTTCAATAATATTGTCAACCACACAGGGTACACATCTCCAATTTCTCTTCATTGACTTGTTTAGTGTTAACCGGGAACGACGCTCGCACTCTCAGCGACTAGAGACGTAATTTTTAAGAATTACCGCACAACACATTTGAATGAAAAGTTCTTACTTTATCTTTAATAAAAACAGCCTACATTGCACATGAGTCATTCACGACTGGAACTATTGATCTATATGTTGTCATTCTTATTGACTATACATTACCATTTTAATAACCTCATGTATAAATTACATTGTTGCTAGCGGCTAATCATACATGACGTGGATTCTAAAGCAGTGCAAGAACTTGGATCTTAAAACTAAACCAAACCTGTGACATTTCCTTGACAGGCCTGTAATGCCTCGAATTTCCTACTGTTCGTTTTAATTCCGTATCTCTCGCTCTCACAAGGACACATAAGTACATGTCACCGGTTAATGTATACGCACAAACGGAAAAAATGGAGGCAGAAGGCTAAAGCGGGCCATTGAAAATGTACAGGGCACTAATTTCAACGTCGTTTTCTCTCAACCTTTACACCTTTTTTCTCCGTCTTCGGTAAACCCTCTAAAATCATTGAAGCTATTGCCTTCTGGTGTCAAAGGATTTACACTGCACTAAATAAAAAAAGTCTTTGCTTTCTCCCGAGCGCGGGAGTTCAAAGGGAATTAATACTTTATTTAGGGCTCCTTGCCGACCAAGTCCAATTAAATGGTTTTGTTCTTCAGGGTAATATGCTCAAGTCGTACTACGCTGAATCGTGGGCTGAACGCAGAGTGAATTGCGGGCCAACTTCAGATTGGTTTAGGTTTGCTTCACTACTTACCCAGCACCCTGGTGACTACGCTCGTCGCCCAGCGCCAGAACAGGGTGCCGGGGGGGGGCGAAGTCTCAGACATGTCGCCGCGTTGATAGGAAAAGAGCGCCTTTCTTGGACCAGCTCGGGGCTCATATCGTGCGTCAGCGGAAAAGCTCAGAAGATACAAAGCATTTGACTTTTTCCAGCCGTACATGTGACCGTGTTTATATGCTCATACAATGTGTTTCAGAGAGAACTATTCAGTTATACCGACTGCTTGGGCTCAGCAACAATAAACAGCCCATAGGCCATATACAACACTTCAATTGTGACTGTGCTACAAATTGTTCGTCGGGTCGTCTGACACGAACTGTGTGACGTATATAAAATCACAGCGTCATGTGACGTTTGTGACGCAGAAATTGTAAACCCTACTCGCAAATTTAATAACTTTCATGTGTCATAACACAATTATTGGATCATCCAGAACGAGCGACTCGTGAATGAGTTTTTAAAAACGGGTAAGTATACCCATTTGTGTAAAAACT